CCCCCCCCCCCCCCTCCCCTCCTCCCCTCGCCCCCTCTCTCCATCTCCCTCCCCCTCTTCCCTCAGTTAACTCTTTTTTTTCTGGACATGAGGTGGTAGTTTACGATCTTTGGACCATTGGTTCACAAGTAACTTAACACCTTTTCATTACCTCAACTCTTTTATTATCATATAATTTTAAAGTTAGCATACATATATCAGTACTAAAGAGCATTTGTTCTCTTGCAGATGCTTAACTAATAGTGTTACACTTTACATTTAACAGCTGGATCTCTGGTTGAGGACTTTGGACTCGAAGATTTTTCACAGCTTCTTGAAGATCCGGAATCCACTGTAAGTATTCTCCAGTGCACAGGACGTCTTGCTGGAACTGCTACAGCTACGAGGACGAAAGTAGCCGCTGTAGTACGTCATCCAGTAACTCGAGCCGTAGTAGGGATATTTAAGGCCCACAACGTCACCATATTGCAGAGGGGTTCCATCCACAGCGTTTTTGGCGTAAATCTCGAAGGTGGCGTACGAGTAGTAAAGCCACTGGTTCCCAGTCATTGTGCTGGTGATTCTATTTAAAATAAAAAGAAATAAATTAAGCCAATTGTCAAATAAACAAATTAAACAGTCAAAAATTGATTTATGCTTATAACAATGTTATAAAAAGCACAAGACTGTTTACTTACGATGATACTCTGCAGTACCAGGTATTCGATGATGTGCACCTCAGCCGGTAGCTGGAACCGAAGGCATAAGAACTCAATGACACAGTGTCTCCACTGTTGATGGCTTCTCCATTTACTCTTCCAAAGGCGGTGATATAGAACTTGGAGTAGGAAGAACATGAAGACCACAAAGATTTCGTCATACTCTGACTACCTGAGCAGTTACCCAGTTCGCAATTAGTATCACAATACAGCAAGTAGGTGGAGTAACTGCTGTGCGCTGATCGTAGCACAATTTGGTCCCCACTCTTGATTACAGGATATCTGTGGACTTGTAACAAAAAAAATTCCTATTAAAACCTTGCACTAAACTACCAAAAGATGAAAGAAGATATTTGACGCATACTAATTGTAAAGCCGTTTTTTTTCGTTTTGTAAAAGAAGCATTTTGCTGTGATCTAAAGGTGAGATTCACAAAAACTTTGAATGAACTCGAAACGTTTACACTATTAATAATTAAGACAAACCGAACGGGGTGAAAGCTCCAAGTCCCCAGCACATCGCTTAGGCTAGCGACTCTAGAATAATAAAACTGAAACAACATCAAACGCTTTATCGAAGTCTTACCTCTCGATAAGTCGGTCCACACATCTTCTATCGGTACCGAGAAACTTACTTGCAGGTTATTCGAGTTAATAACAACGGAATCTAAACAGTTGACTCCGCCAAGAAAGATTAAAGCCACCAAAACGGTCTCACCCAGAAACTTCATACTCGATGACGACTCTGTGAACGCCTTAACAGACTGACACAGACTTCAAATTCCCTTAACTAAGACTAATTATGTTATGAATAATGTAACGTTTAGCAAACGTTTATAAGAGGTTTCTTACTTAATTAATGCGAAACATGTTTAGGGAGTCCGACCAGTTCACGTTCCGCAAGACGTGATGACATCATCGATAACTTTAAGCCCATTACAAGTAGAACATTGCTTTTGGTCATACTAAACTCGGCAGTGGGCAAAATAAAATTATGATTATTTTCGTTTTGACAAATATCAGTAATTTCAATTTATTGTTACTATGATTTCTGAAAGTCCGTGCGGTTTAAAAAAACACTTACTAATCCGAACCCGATCGTCAGAACCCATTGTTCTATCCCTTTTTAATTTCACCAGCCACCGCGGAAATAACAGGAGCACCCGACAACTGTTTTCTGTAAAATATCTGTTCGGAGAAACTACAAATGCCTAGAATTTTCTATAGCTTGAGGAAGGCTAAAAAATGTCTAGAGGACCGTTCTATTCCTGTACAATTTTCGAAGCTAGTCTAAAATAAATACGATTTTCTGAAGTTTAATTTTTTGCATTTCACTTCCCATGCACGTTGGCTATTTTTGTCGAAAAAGGAAACTTAAATTTTTTTCGGATTTAAAAATGCTATGAAGAGAGGAATCAGAAAAAATCCTAACTTCGTAAAACTTTAAATTGCATCTAAAATTTTCGGGAAAATAATACTGACTGCCCATAGGGATAAGTTGCAGTCCGTTGCAGTCCGTTCAGAATGCGGCTGCTCGAATTATCGCCGGTCTCAAAAAACGAGATCACATCACCGAGACTCTAAGAGATCTTCACTGGCTTCCTGTTGAGGAGAGAATTGTTTTTAAAATAAATTTAATAACTTTTAAAACATTGAATGGCTCCGGTCCCCGATATCTTGAAGATATTTTAAAATTTTACCATCAAGCAAGGACATTACGGTCATCAAGGGATCATTTACGCCTTGAAGAACCAAATTTTAACATGAAAACTTATGGCCAGCGAGCGTTTTCCGTTGCTGCCCCCCGATTATGGAACAAGCTCTCCTTTGAAATTCGAGCTTGTTCTGATGTTAATCTTTTTAAATCTAAGTTGAAAACGTTTCTTTTTAAAAAGGTATATGACATTTAGTTTCGTCATATTTGTTTTTGTTTTTGTTTTTTTGTTTTTTTGCTTTTGCTTTTTTTGGTTTTTTTTGTTTTTTTTTCTTTCCTTTTTAAGATGTGTACAGTAGGGTTATATGTAAGCTTGTGCTTAATGATATTCTTATGTCCTTTTTTACATTGTAAGGGGCTTAGAACAGCGATGTATAAGCGCTATATAAATTCCATTATTACTATTATTATATAATTTGGAAAAGACTCAAGTTGTCCTGGATGACCGAACAGATAAAAATTTTATAGCGCCGCTTAGAATGCACTTCTAGAGATATGAAAATACTCTGGATAGACTAAAAATTGTTTTCAATGCATTTAGGACAAAACTGTCGTTGGGTGCCCCTGAAATAACAATTTGAACGGCAGGAAAATGTTGCTTCATATACAGCTGCACATTACTATCTCTCGATACTGTCTCGGGGTCGGTATTGATTCAATGCATTGCTGAATTACTCTTTGAAGAAAAAAGTATTCGATTGACAAGATTGCAGTCATGCTGACACGTTGAGAAACCTTGGCAGGAAGAAATGATAAAATTTAGCGACCCATTTTCTCAACCTAATCACCCAAAAGATTCTGCACCGTTTGAAAACCTCGGCCCGGCGAAAATTCATTTTGAACCGTCGCAAAAATATTGGTGTTCGTCAATCTCTGGTGAAAATATTCTCCAGTGCACTCAGTTGATTATAAATATTAGCTATTAATTCATATCTCCAGAGTCAGTGAGGACTTAATTGAAGATCCTTCACCGAGGATATAAGGGTTCCACTATCATAAAAGAAAGAAAAACCCTCAATAGAAGGTCGCTTATCAGTGGATGTTGTCGCTGTGAAGGGACTGACGTGCTAGCTACATTGGATTGGAATTCGATCATTTTTTCTCTCAGTTGAAGCTGAAATAACCCAGATTAAAAGAAAACATCACAAAAAATGTGATAAACAAAACGAATTAAAGAACAGTCAGGGTGATTTCTAATTTAAGGTGAAACAGTTAAGGAGCAAAGACTCAAAGATCATTTGATTTAATCTTATCCGTCGAGTCATAAGTACCATAAGACGTGTAATCGCGATCGAATCCTCAACTATTTTATTGAAAAGCAAAAAGTTAAAGTTCATTAACACATAAATCCCTTAGAAATTATTTAATTGTCTTTCCAAAATGGTCACTTAATGATCCAATCTGTTTATGCTTAAATTTATGGTTGAGCTTCAAAATTGAGATCTTAAAAACTTCAGCTCTTGAAGATTTTGAAGCCGGTGAAACGGTCCTCTTTTGCGCAAGAGGTTTTGTCGTTTCTGCTACAGCTACGCGGATAAAGAAATTTGCCACTTTTAGTCAGCCATGCTTTGCTGGAGCAGTGTAAGTACTTGAGTCCCACCACATCGCCATTGTGGATGGGCGTAGAATCCTCTGCCTCTTTGGAGAATATTTGAAAAGTGGCGTTGTCGTATATCAGCCAGTTGTTTCCTGTCATGTCGCCTTTAAAGCTAGAGAAAAAAGTGGCAAAAGGAGGTCAAAAAGCAATAATTTACTAAATATCTAGCAGTCAAGTTTGGGTTGACCCAAGCAAAATTACTTTTGCCTATGAGTTCTTAATACTGACCAAGAGAGAAATGCCAATAACTGACTAAGAGCAAAATTGTACAGACCGAAAGTCAACTATAGACATCAGTTGCATCTTCTCGTCCGATGTTGCTTGAGTTAAATTCCCAAGAAGAGCTGATGCGGTGTTTAAATTTAAAGCTGAATACTTACGAAGCCAAATGGCACTGCGCGGTTGAAGATTTGCCACAAGTCAGCTTGTACTGAGGACCGTACTTTCTAATGATGAGCGACACTTTTTCCCCGCTTTCGATGGGCTTTCCCAGCGTTCCTCCTCTGGCTGTTATTTTGAACTCCGCATTCTCAGGTGAGCAGGACGACGAAACCTCAGCATCATTAGACGGGCAATGCGTCCATTGGCAGCCAGATGTATTGCAGCTTAGTGAAAGTTTCGAATAACTGCTATGAGCTGATTTCAAAATAATAAGGTCACCACTGCTGATGGTTTTTCTGCGGGCTTAAAGCAAAATTCACAAAATGTCAATCGTTGTAAAAACGGTTTCGAATCTTTCAAAGATTCGAAAATGTTTTGGGAGGTAGCAAATCATAAACTTCAAAAATGAATTAAAAACAATTTACACTCTGCTTCTTACAATTGTACATGTTGTTCGAAGATTTAGCAGCCTCTGAACAGCTTACACAGGCCGCTAACAAAAGTCCCACGAAAACTGCCAAGCTTAAAAACTTCATTCTTAGGCTTAATTTACTGATGTGGTTAAAAGTTCCAAATAATAATTTCAGTAAAGATGATGTGGGGCTAAGAATAAGCTGTCTTTGCCGTGTAAAGTGTGTTGCAAAACATGTGATAAAAATTCGCGAACGTGTTAGGTGAGCGGAAGTGAATGACACCTTAGGGGGGTGCTCTGTGGTGAAAACATTTATTGAAATAAGAAAACCCCAAGTATAAACACAAGTGGAAAGAGCTGGTTTTATGAGTGCGATGGAGTACTAAAGGATAGGTAGCTAGATTCAAATATCGCTCGCTATACAATACTAAAAATAATTAAAAGGTTCAGAAAAGAAAAAAAAGAAAGACTCTTAAAAAACAAAGCCAAATAACCATACTTAAATTATTAAGTTCGAAAGCACTAAAAATATAATCTCAAAGTTTTATATTTTCGTTTATATTTTATTCCGCCGTAGCGCGATGAACAGCACACTACTGACCGGACACGAGAAGGATATTTCATTTTCTTTTTTTTTTTTTAATTAGATTATAAATATTAACTATTAATTCATATCTCCAGAGTCAGTGAGGACTTAATTGAAGATCCTTCACCGAGGATATAAGGGTTCCACTATCATAAAAGAAAGAAAAACCCTCAATAGAAGGTCGCTTATCAGTGGATGTTGTCGCTGTGAAGGGACTGACGTGCTAGCTACATTGGATTGGAATTCGATCATTTTTTCTCTCAGTTGAAGCTGAAATAACCCAGATTAAAAGAAAACATCACAAAAAATGTGATAAACAAAACGAATTAAAGAACAGTCAGGGTGATTTCTAATTTAAGGTGAAACAGTTAAGGAGCAAAGACTCAAAGATCATTTGATTTAATCTTATCCGTCGAGTCATAAGTACCATAAGACGTGTAATCGCGATCGAATCCTCAACTATTTTATTGAAAAGCAAAAAGTTAAAGTTCATTAACACATAAATCCCTTAGAAATTATTTAATTATCTTTCCAAAATGGTCACTTAATGATCCAATCTGTTTATGCTTAAATTTATGGTTGAGCTTCAAAATTGAGATCTTAAAAACTTCAGCTCTTGAAGATTTTGAAGCCGGTGAAACGGTCCTCTTTTGCGCAAGAGGTTTTGTCGTTTCTGCTACAGCTACGCGGATAAAGAAATTTGCCACTTTTAGTCAGCCATGCTTTGCTGGAGCAGTGTAAGTACTTGAGTCCCACCACATCGCCATTGTGGATGGGCGTAGAATCCTCTGCCTCTTTGGAGAATATTTGAAAAGTGGCGTTGTCGTATATCAGCCAGTTGTTTCCTGTCATGTCGCCTTTAAAGCTAGAGAAAAAAGTGGCAAAAGGAGGTCAAAAAGCAATAATTTACTAAATATCTAGCAGTCAAGTTTGGGTTGACCCAAGCAAAATTACTTTTGCCTATGAGTTCTTAATACTGACCAAGAGAGAAATGCCAATAACTGACTAAGAGCAAAATTGTACAGACCGAAAGTCAACTATAGACATCAGTTGCATCTTCTCGTCCGATGTTGCTTGAGTTAAATTCCCAAGAAGAGCTGATGCGGTGTTTAAATTTAAAGCTGAATACTTACGAAGCCAAATGGCACTGCGCGGTTGAAGATTTGCCACAAGTCAGCTTGTACTGAGGACCGTACTTTCTAATGATGAGCGACACTTTTTCCCCGCTTTCGATGGGCTTTCCCAGCGTTTCTCCTCTGGCTGTTATTTTGAACTCCGCATTCTCAGGTGAGCAGGACGACGAAACCTCAGCATCATTAGACGGGCAATGCGTCCATTGGCAGCCAGATGTATTGCAGCTTAGTGAAAGTTTCGAATAACTGCTATGAGCTGATTTCAAAATAATAAGGTCACCACTGCTGATGGTTTTTCTGCGGGCTTAAAGCAAAATTCACAAAATGTCAATCGTTGTAAAAACGGTTTCGAATCTTTCAAAGATTCGAAAATGTTTTGGGAGGTAGCAAATCATAAACTTCAAAAATGAATTAAAAACAATTTACACTCTGCTTCTTACAATTGTACATGTTGTTCGAAGATTTAGCAGCCTCTGAACAGCTTACACAGGCCGCTAACAAAAGTCCCACGAAAACTGCCAAGCTTAAAAACTTCATTCTTAGGCTTAATTTACTGATGTGGTTAAAAGTTCCAAATAATAATTTCAGTAAAGATGATGTGGGGCTAAGAATAAGTTGTCTTTGCCGTGTAAAGTGTGTTGCAAAACATGTGATAAAAATTCGCGAACGTGTTAGGTGAGCGGAAGTGAATGACACCTTAGGGGGGTGCTCTGTGGTGAAAACATTTATTGAAATAAGAAAACCCCAAGTATAAACACAAGTGGAAAGAGCTTGTTTTATGAGTGCGATGGAGTACTAAAGGATAGGTAGCTAGAATCAAATATCTCTCGCTATACAATACTAAAAATAATTAAAAGGTTCAGAAAAGAAAAAAAAGAGAGACTCTTAAAAAACAAAGCCAAATAACCATACTTAAATTATTAAGTTCGAAAGCACTAAAAATATAATCTCAAAGTTTTATATTTTCGTTTATATTTTATTCCGCCGTAGCGCGATGAACAGCACACTACTGACCGGACACGAGAAGGATATTTCATTTTCTTTTTTTTTTTTAATTAGATTCGCCAATTATTGGCAGGGTCACCGCAACAGCATGACGCCAATTACTACGGGCTCGTAACAGTCCCTTCCCCCAATGAGAGATAGACCACCACACCGGGAACAACGTCCTCTAATCTTTACGAACAGTGTGACCCTGAGTGTTGATCCGGCCAGGACTTGAATCAGCGGCCTCCCGCTCGGCAGACCGGCACTTATAAAACTGAGCTAACCGGGCGGCGGTTATTGTTATAAGTATTGATCGACACCGAAACGCTGAAGGATACACGAGAAGGATATTTCATTTTTTGTTTTTTATTATTATTATTATTATTATTATTATTATTATTATTATTATTATTATTATTATTATTATTATTATTACTAGATTCGCCAATTATTGGCAGGCTCACCGCAACAGCATGACGCCAATTACTACGGGCCCGTAACAGTCCCTCCCCCCATGAGAGACAGGCCACCACACTGGGAACAACGTCCTCTACTTTGTACGAACAGTGTGACCCTGAATGTTGATCCGGCCGGGACTTGAACCAGCGGCCTCCCGCTCGGCAGACCGGCACTTATAAAACCGAGCTAACCGGGCGGCGGTTATTGTTATAACTATTGTTCGACGCCGTTCACTGTTCACTGTTCATTATTTCTCATTGACATTCAATACAGGTAATTACAAAATTTAAAATTTTGCGAAAATTTCTTAAACTTATATATTTATTTCACCTCAAGTCGACAAACATTAGTTTCCCTCAACCAAACATTTTTACATTCAGGTTTGTTTTACTTATCCAAGAATTTCTTCCCTTTCAGTAAAAATGATGAAATGAAACTAAACACCTCAGCCGGTAGCTGCAACCGTAGGCAACGGAATTCAATGATACAGTGTCTCCACTGTTGATGGCTTCTCGACCCCTTCTCCATTTACTCTTCCAAAGGCGGTGATATAGAACTTGGACAAGAAAGAACATGAAGACCACAATGATTTCGTCATACTCTGACTGAGTAAAGGATCGGTAGAATCAAATATCTCTCGCTATACAATACTAAAAATAATTAAATGGTTCAGAAAAGTTTTGCGCTTCTTTTCCTGCTTCCCAGAGCATGATACTGATGCATTCAATTCCTATCTCTTCAGGCAATTTCCTTGAAAGACTCTTAAAAAACAAAGCCAAATAACCATACTAAAATTAAGTTCGAAAGCACTAAAAATATAATCTCAAAGTTATATACCGTAAAATTCCGAAAATAAGCCCCGGGGCTAATATTTTTCAAAGGGCCTTTTTGAGGGGCTTATTTTTGGAGGGGCGTATATTTGGAGGGGCTTATCTAAGGAGGGAAATTTGCGTTTCACAATCGATAGGGCTAGCCTTACAGTTGGAAGTAAATTTATTGTTTTTCCTTTGTTTTACTTTGTATTTAGGGGCAATTTTCCAAGTACAAGCCCCCGGGGGGCTTATATTTGAAGGGGCGATTTAACGGAGGATTTGGAGGGGCTTACATATAGAGGGGCTTATTTTCGCAATTTTACGGTATTTTCTTTTATATTTTATTCCGCCGTAGCGCTATTAACAGCACACTACTGACCGGACACGAGAAGGATATTTCATTTTTTGTCTTTTATTATTATTATTATTATTATTAGATTCGCTAATTATTGGCAGGGTCACCGCAACAGCATGACGCCAGTTACTACGGGCTCGTAACAGTCCCTTCCCCAATGAGAGATAGACCACCACACCGGGAACAACGTCCTCTTAACTCTTTACAAACAGTGTGTGGGTTCTTTAACGTCCCACACAATTTATGTATCTAAGGGTTGTGAGACGGTGCCTACGGTTTATCGTCCTTATCCGAGAAGACTAGAAAGTCTAACCGTTTGCAGATGTCTTTACAAAGGCAGCATTTTGTCCTCAGTTATTTAAAGACCCTGAGTGTTGATCCGGCCGGGACTTGAACCAGCGGCCTCCCGCTCGGCAGACCGGCACTTATAAAACCGAGCTAACCGGGCGGCGGTTATTGTTATAACTATTGTTCGACACCGTTCACTGTTCACTGTTCATTATTTCTCATTGACATTCAATACAGGTAATTACAAAATTTAAAATTTTGCGAAAATTTCTTAAACTTATATATTTATTTCACCTCAAGTCAGGACAAACATTAGGTTCCCTTAACCAAACATTTTTACATTCAGGTTTGTTTTACTCATCCAAGAATTTCTTCCCTTCCAGTAAAAATTATGAAATGAAAGTAAACACCTCAGCCGGTAGCTGCAACCGTAGGCAACGGAATTCAATGATACAGTGTCTCCACTGTTGATGGACGTTCTCCATTTACTTTGCCAAAGGCGGTGATTTAGAACTTGGACAAGAAAGAACACGAAAACCACAAAGATTTCGTCATACTCTGACTGAGTAAAGGATCGGTAGAATCAAATATCTCTCGCTATACAATACTAAAAATAATTAAAAGGTTCAGAAAAGTTTTGCACTTCTTTTCCTGCTTCCCAAAGCATAATACCGGTACATTGGGGCGTCGTACTTTCTTTCTATCTCTTCAGGCAATTTCCTTGAAAGACTCTTAAAAAACAAAGCCAAATAACCATACTTAAATTAAGTTCGAAAGCACTAAAAATATAATCTCGAAGTTATATATTTTCGTTTATATTTTATTCCGCCGTAGCGCGATTAACAGCACACTACTGACCGGACACGAGAAGGATATTTCATTTTTTTTTTTTTTAGATTCGCCAATTATTGGCAGGGTCACCGCAACAGCATGACGCCAGTTACTACGGGCCCGTAACAGTCCCTTCCCCCATGAGAGATAGACCACCACACCGGGAACAACGTCCCCTACTCTTTACGAACAGTGTGTGGGTTCTTTAACGTCCCACAGAATTTATGTATCCAAGGGTTGTGAGACGGTGCCTACGGTTTATCGTCCTTATCCGAGAAGACTAGAAAGTCTAACCGTTTGCAGATGTCTTTACAAAGGCAGCACTTTCTCCTCAGTTACTTAAAGACCCTGAATGTTCGTCCGGCCGGGACTTGAACCCGCGTCCTCCCGCTCGGCAACCGGGCGGCGGTTATTCCGTGGGCTGCCTGTGGCACTGCCACGGTAAAAATCCGGTTCGGTTGTACCCAAAATTGCAAAGCCAGCCAATAGGATTGTCTAAAATCTTTATCGATTTTCTCTTCTTCCAAGCCGACCAATCAGATTGTACAAAATCTGTATCGGTTTTTAATCGATTTGCTTCCTCTGAAGAACGTTGAAATCAGCACGTTCCTTGCCAAATTTGTCGCGCTAGAGTTTTCCCACTCGTGGTTTAGGATGACTTGTTAACCAGCGAAATCCTTCGGGATACTGGCAAGTCACGAAAGGCGACCTAAACCAAATTATTTCTTTCCTTCATGATTCTTTTTTTGTTTGGGTCTAGCTTTTTCATAAGGTTTTAGTAGCGTCTGGTTGCGGGCCGCTATTTCCGATAGATTTTTCTATTCGGAGTTCGCCAGTCACGTTGCCGAGCACAGCTAGAATTCAGTTTTTTTCTTTTCTTATCGAAAACACCTTGACGATGGGAGGTCAAATCGCGTAAATTTCAACTCGTACCCTTGACGATTGGCGGTGAAATCGCGAAAATATTGTCCTCGTCGATCGACGACTCGCTTTCGGCATGGATTGGACTTCCGGATGGGACACGGATCAGGAGTGGACCTTAGTAAACTTATTATACCTTGGACTCAGGGATAATCATCGGAACTATGTTAACTTTGAGACCTTGGAAACACATTGCAATAAATTTTTACCGTATCAAGAGCATCTTGCAATATTAAACTTTATCTTAGATTAAAACATTGTAACTTTATCGAATTTTGTAACCCTCGGTTCGACCCTGGACAAAGCAAGCGGATGTTTTGTTTTGTTTTGTTCCATTAACCTAAAACTACAATGTTTATTTCTCTTTGAAAAAGTTATTTGTGGCAACTTACTACCAAGATATGACGTATCTTTATACATATAGTTCCTGTTCAGGTTAATCAGAGAGCATTATGCGCATGTTCTCCATTACTTGTTTCCGTTAACATTCCAATTTAAGTTACACGGGTAAACCTTGTTTTGATGCAAAATAACTTCTTTTCCTTATCCAAATCGTGCTATGAAAATAACTACATAGCAATAGATCAAAACAAGATCAACTCCATCCTTGCGACCACTGACAACTATAAATTTAGCTTGCGTAGCAGGTGTCGAAAGGGGTAGGGGATAGGGAGGAAGCAAAAAGGGGATGTGGATTGGGGAAAAATTGTAGCCTGCCACGCAGGCTACTATAAATCAGTCATAAGCACATTAAACCAACCCATACAGGTAATCTACTCATCGATGCTCATAACATGACACATCTTTCCGGTTTCCCTAATTTTTCCAAATTCAGATAGAACGCCATTATGCTTCCATAGACCAACGCATCCCACGGAAACGAC